CATGAAGAAAAATTTCCAAAGGCATTGCAATTACACCAGTATGAATGTAATAATTCATATTATCCAGCAGTAGTATCAAATAATTTTACATATTGATTTAAAAAGTCATCACGATTGTAACATTTACAGATATCAAATAACAATTGTGTCATTGCTTCATTGTGCAATTAATATTGAGATAGCTATCAAGATTCTTTATTTTTCCTAACAAAAATAATGTGTGTCAGATAGATTACTGGTAATTACAGGTAATATATTTTTATGGTTTTACTTTATTATCCAACCAGAAAGCTGGAAATCATAAATTTCTCTACATAAACTAAAACTATGTTAATAGATATCAGTAAATTCTCCATTTATGGAGTATATATGTAACAAAAATATAGTACATATTTGCATGCTCATGTATACATCAAAAATTGGAATATAAGATGTCACTTTTAATCAAGTAGAATATCTTCAACTAGAAAAGCTCAAGATAAGGTTCCTTGAATGTAGCCTACTAGATCGTTCTTGATCATTTAGTATCTATTGTGAATACTGTACATACTAAACCTATGTAAATGAGTATATCTTAACATTATCCAATTTGGCTGTTAAAATAGTATTCCAAATTAGTTTCAGAATCTGTTTCATTATGAATACTGATTATGCTGAAGATATCAGCACAATGCAAAGATATCAGGAGAGCTAGGGTTTAAGTCATCAGGCTAGAAACCAGGAGCTGTAAATTCTAGTCCCACCTTTGGCATAAACTGGATAACTCTGAGGTTGTCACATTCTCTAGGAAGCAGGCAATGACAAACCACTTTTGAAAAACTTTGTCAAGAGTCAACATGGCAGTCACCAGGAGTCAATGCTGAGTGAAAGGAATGTGTGTGTGTATTTGCGTATGTGTGTAAGAGAGACAGAGAGAGGAAGGGAGAGGGAGAGAGAGGGACAGAAATGCCCCCCCCTCCAACAATGGAGCTATCTAATCAAATATCTGGTTCTATGAGATCCCCAGGTCTGGTCCCACAACCAGATCTTGAGGGCATTTTGGAATATCAAAAGGGATAGGACCAATCAAATTTTGGGAGGAAGGATAAGGCAGGTGTCGCAGCAGAGAAGGCACATCTCCTGGAACCCACCAAATGTAGATCCCTCTTCTCTGCAAGATGGAGTAACCTGATATAAGTGGAGAAAAGCAGTTGCTCAGATAGCCTGGTCCCATGCCATGAAAGGTCTTAAAGGTTAAAATTAGCATCTTCAATTGGACCCAGAAGCAAACTGGCAACCAAGGCAGCTCACAGAGCAGAGGTGCAATGTGTGCTGTTCTAGGCATAGACATAACTGCCTGGGCCTCTGCATTCTGTATTACCTGAAGCTTCCAGGCTCTCTTCAAGGGCAGCGTCATGTACAGCATATTGCAGTAGCCCAATCTGGAGAGGCAAGGGTATGAATTCCTTGTTGAGCCAGGAAAGGGCACAACTAGTGCACAAGATGAAGCTATTATGAGGCCCTCCTAACCACAAGTGCCATTTTATATTGGAAAAGTGAAAATGTTTTAACTGACAAGCAAGAGTTGTACGCTTTACCTTTACCTATATGGTTTTTGTAAAATATGCCTGAATATAAGTTGCATAAACATCAGAATGCTATTCTTTTCATGTCTTACTTGTTCTCATCTTCTCAAGACCATTTAATTATCCACAGGAGATAAGAATTTGCTCTTGTGTTTTTATTTAGCTTGTCTCTCTGCTCTGGGTAATGGTAACCATAAAATGCTACTGAATAAAGGAAAGGGAATATTCTTAGGAGTTTCTATTTCCTTGTTGCTGAAAGAGATAGTCCCAGAATTAAACTGGTTCTCTTCCAATCTATCTTATGCCAGAATCTTATTTGCTTTTTCTGCCCTTTATTTTGCATGTGCATCTCTGTGTATTAAATCCTTTTAGCAAGTCCTTAGAAATGTTTCTCAATGTTCACATTTTTTTTCAATCCAAAAGGTTTAAAGATTCTTTGGTATTAGTAGAAGTAATGTGATTGAATCCTCACAAACCTCATCATTTTTTCATTCTGTTGCTTTCCCTGGGCCATATTTTAATATTTTTTATGAGAGAGAAAATAGTTTTCTCATAGATCTTAATGTATGAAATGGATGATGTATTAAATAATCTAAGTCTCAATAAAGACTATCTAAAATGCCTAGATAAATAACAGACTTTCTAAACCAGACTTGAAACTGAAATGATATAGCTAATTACAAGTCCCAAAGCTATTTTGCTGCACTCTGATGTTGCAGAAGATGCTGTCTTGCAGCCAATACTGAAATAAGATTCAGTTGGCTTTTATATGTGGGGTGGAAGAAAGTGTCATCTTATCTTTGTTTCAGGAGACATTGTCTTGGCTTGTGCTGTCTGACTGCAATAAGGGATATTTTCTTTACTGGTTGTACAGTACTTTTCCTGATCATCTTTGGAGTGATCCCAGCTACCAGGAACAATTTTGCTTGCCCTTTTTATGCTCCCATGCTTGGGTTATTATATTTAGTTGTTGGAGGAAGCTGTTCAGGTTTTCAATGTCTCTTGATTGACTTAATCAGTAGACCAATAATAGAAGTCATTGTTTTTTGATCAATACAATTTATAAAATTTATATTTGTATTTCTTTGAATTTTCTTTGTGACTTAACACAAAAAGAAATTCTATTGATCCACTGTAGCTTTTTGTTGATCAGGTAAGAATAACTAAGTTCTCTCATCTGTTGTCACCTGGCCTAATCTATATAGAGTTCAAAATTAAGCAGAGTTTGGCTGTGTGTGTGTGTGTGTGTGTGTGTGTGTGTGTGATTAGCTAGGAGACCATAAAATAATTTGTGCATTTTAGGCAACACTGGGAAATTTAAAAAATTCTAAAGAAGACAATAATATGAATTAATTTAAGAAGTCTACAGTTAGTCCTTGACCTATGACTTTAATGTAGCCTGCATGTTATGATCATAAGTTATGATAGTCATAAAGTGACTGACCCAACTTTATTTTTATAGTAACCCTTAAGTGAATCACCATGGTTGTTAAGTGTTAAGCATACCCAGAGTTTGCTATGGGGCATATCAAATAACCATAAATGCTGTAAATAACCATAAATGCAGTCTGGTTGCCAAGCACCTAAAATGTAACCATGGGGGAGGGATGGCCATTGAGATTTCAAAATTGGATCATAAGTACCTTATTAGGGGGTGTCCAACATAATTTAGAATTATCACTAAGTCATAGGTCATGAGTTGAAGACTAGCTGTATCCTACCGACTTCCCTTCAGTGTGGGCTTGTGCATAACCATCAGCTTAATAAAGAATTGGCGGGGGGGGGGGTGTTACAGATATTTGCTGGATGAAAATATGCTCAACAAGATACACAAACACAAATGAATAACACAATCATTTTTATTATATCTATCCTGATTAACAAGAGCATTTATGGTGAAGTTTTATACAGAATGATACATATGATTTGGCTACATATAATCATGGATCCTGACAGTCTCAAGGAATACAAACAATAGCTGATCAAAAGTAATTTTTTCTATATAATGTTTGTTTTGTTATTATAATACAAATCACATTAACAAACTGTTGTTATTTGGACAGAGGCCAGAATAAAGTTGATTGATTGATGTTGTTTGATAAAGTTGATTGATGTTTCTGATGGAAAGGAGTAAGAAGGGCCCATGCTTCTACTGTTTTGAAACAGGAGGACATTGAGTCTGATATTAAAGTTTATTGTGCTATTCATGAAACTGACTTATAGTTTGTACAACAATCATGTAGTATGTATAAATGTAAAAGAGGGAATTCTCAACAACTTCAGTGGCAGAAGGAAAATAATATGGATTTCACCTCTTCTCAGTTTTTGAATTTAATTCCTCTAGTCCTGTCCAATTCTGCATAAAATTTATAGTATTGTTTTTCATCATTTTAATTAAAAAACAGATGCCATATGCGCTTGCCAACATAGTCTTGCTATATTTCCTTGGAAACAGAATGTGAAGATGTCTCCTTTAGACACCACTTTTGGTTTCTCCCTTGTCCAGCTCGTTGCCCCACAAAGTTGTGGATTCCAATAGGAGTTACAGTAGAAGAGGAGCATGCAAGGGAGGAGGAAGCAAAAGATGTAGGAGCTATTGTCCCTATGTTATGCTATCTCTTTCTCTGTTGCTGCTCCCAAGAAATCTGCCACTTTAGCAACAACAGTGCAACTAGTGGCAACTTCCTCTTCCTCCTTTTTTCAATTAGATATTTGCAAAGCAAGGCAAGGAGGAGCTTGCCCAGCCATGATGGCTTCCCAGGTTCTAACTCTGACCATTTTCTTTCTCCAATCATTTTTATTCCATCCTATTTGTGAAGGAAAGAAGGGATAGAGGGAAAAAATTGTGTTCTTCTGATAGGAAGTGGTACAAGTGTTCCATTCATATGTGGATGGTGTCCCCCGAGTACAGAGAAATATATACTTCATAGTGAACTAGAAGGCAGGGGCTCAGGCCCTGATTATTTACCTTCCTCCAAATCACTACTAGAGTGAAAGATGACACAGCCTCAATGGGGAATCCATCCCCATTAAGACCTGGGGAGTTCTACATATGTCCCTTCGTCCCCTTCCTTTTTTATATTTTTCAGTGTTGTCTTTCAAGTTAAAGGTGGCTAATACATACAGATCCATACAAGTTACTTCTGGGTAGAAATAAGGCATAGCAACATGAGTTCTTTAAATTATACCCCCAAACATGATCTGCTGAATGATTTTTAATTATGCTCTATAGCCAATGGACCAAACAATAAATACTGTGCAATTTGCATCTTGTGTTATCAAACAGCAGCTTTTATTTCTCCTATTTCTACTACACTATTTTTAAAATTAGCCTTCTAGACTTAAACTTTAATGGGAGAAAATAATGCATTGTTTATAGTGATTAGCTTCCCAAATAAGTCATGAATAGACACATTTGTGTATTATCATTTCCAGGATGGAATGGGAAATCTCAGAGTCACCAAAAAAGGAATTCGACTTGAAGGGATATCTGAATTTCTACTTCCATTGTACGTGAAAGAAATCCATTCCCGAAAGGTAGGTTCCAACATCTGTTTTGCTAAAATCACCATTAAAAAAAAATGAAAGATTTTAGTTCAAAAGAATAAACTGATACACAGGCTAGTATTTACAACAAGATGTTTTTGAACAGGGGTTTATAAACTAATCTACCACAAAATTTAATTTTCATGTGACTGCCAATTCTTTAGACTATACCATCATCCTCAGGTCAATCATGTTTAGACAGAATTAGACTTATAGTCAGCACACAATGGAAATCATGGTTCTGGGAAAGTTGCTTTACAACATTTCTCACATGAGTGTTGATGCATTCATTCCCATGTTTCAAACATGTTTTTTAGAGTGATAAAGATGAAAAAATGAACAATGTAGATTCAATCCAGTTTGGAAACTTTCATTTCAAAATGTGGCTTCTTTCTTCTTTCCAATGGTGAAATACAATCTTTTTTCCTAGTTCAGAATTTCATATAAATCTAGTTTACAAATATCATTGAATATCAGTTCTGAAAAGCACAGAGAGTGAGGTCTGTTTGCTTGTAGGCTTCTAAAGGTATTCATTTATTTGATTTTACAGTTCTTATAACACAGATGCTGAAATACAGAAATACATAATTGACTTCTGTAAATCAGTATTCCCAAAAAAATGTTTTCTCTTTTTTTAAGATTGTAACTCAGCAGTAGATGAGATGTATATATAATTCAATAAGAGACTGATTCCAAAGCAACATTTTGCAGTCACAGAAAGTTGATATATTTGGAACATAGGATAGTCTTGTGGTGAAGCTTGTTTTATATTTAATTTTATTGTTATAGGATAATGGGAGTGCTTATATAAGCAAAAGCAGATATAAATGTTAATAATAGTAATGGTGATACTAGCACCCTAGCAAGGATCATTCTTCATACAAGAATAGCAGACAAATTTATTAGTATTCTTCCTTTATGAAAAAAATGAGTGCTAATTTCAGTGGTAAAAATTGGAACAATCTGAATATACAAGAGTTTAGCAGGCAAATCATTTTATCAATCATTATTTTAAAAAGATGAGTATATAATATGGACAACTGATCAAGACTAAACCATCTCTATGGATTGCAATTCATTTCCTTCCCAGGATGTATATCCTTGTAGTTACGGGCTCTGTGCCTTAATATCTGCTAGATGACTTGGATTTCAATTCACAACTTTTTCTATTGCTCACACTTTCTACAGATTATGCACAGTTACTTGTTGGTTTGTTGCAATTATATCTTGCCACAATCTGGACATGTACATGCTTTACAGTTAGAAAGCATTTAGAAAATTCTTTGTATGTTTTACTGCATGGTTAAAAAAGAAAGTTAACAAATAGTTGTGCTAACCAGGGCCTGGGGTTGAATCTGAGAAACTAGAACATGCCATAGAAACAAGATATCTGTGGCTCGTTCCCTGTGTGTGATCCACTTGTTGACTCTCACTGTATTTTCCTCTACCCATCACTACTGGAATTTTATAGCCTGCTCCCATCACTTTCAAGCTCTCCCACATTCATGGCCATGTATATACTGGCCTGTGGCATTTCAGCATTAGTTCTCAGTGTCAGGAGCTCTCCCTCATCTCCAACCCCATTCACATACAATCTATCCCATCCCAGACTAGGTTTCTCTCACTGACCATTTGGGAGGGGGGAGGCAGCAAGCATGCACACATTGTTATTGTTGGTCACACAGTCAGCTAGATGTTTAGACTGGATTTTTCATTTTTATTAATCTCTTGAGTCCTTCCTAAGAATCTGAGATAGGTAGATGTTGTTTGGTGATGTTAAAGATATATCACAAGATGTTAGCTGTTCCAAGTAATCTGCCTTTTGCAATTGACTGGTGATGATTTTGTCAGTGCTGATGGTATTCATGTGACGCTCCAGATGCTTGGGGATTGTACCCAAGGTGCCTATTACTATTGGTACTTTCCAGAGCACTTTAGCTTCTTCATTTTGTATGACTTTGGCTATTTTGTGATCCCACCAGTTCTTGCTTGCAGGCAAATGAGTTTCTTGCAGAACTTCCATTGCACCATTGTGGTTACTTTGCCATGCCATTGTAGTCAGTTTGCTCAATCTTCTTGCAGCAGCTAACTAGATGGCTCACTGTTTCTTCAGCTTCTTTGCAGTAGCAGGATTTGTTGTGTGTTGCTTTCTTCTCAGTTCTGGATGGTTTTGTTCTTAAGACTTGGTCTTATGCACCCAGATTTAGTTCCTCTGTATCATTCTTCAATTTTGCCGTTCTTAGCCATTGCCAGTTTTTGTAGTTATCTGCTTTGCCTGCTTTTTTTTAATGTACAGGTCATGTGATGCTTTACTTTGCCATGTCTCTTTTCTTTTCTTCATTTGACCTTTCTTATAGGCCAGTTTGGTCTCTCCAGGTCTCAATAAGCATTTGTGGTATAACAACTTCAGTGTGTCTTCTTCACTATTCTTCAATATTCATCCAATGCTCTTTTTTCTTCTTCAGTTGTCTGGTGTACTTGCAATATTCTACAGCCACCTATTTTTCCTTTTTATATAGAGTCAACATTGGTGCATGGCTCAAGGGCATGATTCATTGTCATTATTTTTCTGGTTTTCGTATCAGACCATTTCATTCTTTTTTTCTGGTTTTTCTATCAGACCTATTAGTTCTTCTTTAGTTCCTATCAGAACCTTTAGTTCTTCTTAATAGTCCACTATTCCAGTTGTGTATTTAATGACTGAGATTTCCCAAGTTGCCTTGATAGTATTTCCTTCACTGAATTTGGATTTTATGATCTTTTTCACTCTTATTTCTAACCTTCTTCTTGACTTTAGTGTGCTTGATGTTGTCAGCTTGAAGAATGCCAGGTATTTGTAGTGGTCTTCATCCAGACTCTTGATTTTATTTCCATAGGGCATTTTGGAATGTCTTCAGTTTTCTCTATTTGTCCCCTGTTGATGGTTAGGATGGCACCTTTCTCCAGTCCAAACTCCATTGCAGTGATTGTCATTCTTTGTATTTCTTGCTCAAGAAATATTTTATGTAATTTAATAATTTAATAAATAAAAATATTTATTAAATTATTTTCATAGAATGAATGTTGGGAAATGATGAACAATCTGAAATTTCATGATCTGTGAACTGAAAAAATGTGGGCACCCTTGTTTTAGATGGTTTTGAAGCAAAAAACAATGTGACCAGAAGCAAAGTACTGTATATTCACTTTCTAGAGCAGCCTTTTGTCATGGTTCCGACAGATGAACCTCTTAAAAGAACTTCGAGGCATTGTTTACCTTAAAGAAACTTTTATTTGAAAAACAAAGTATCGGCACTACATAGCTGAAACCAAAAACTAAATTCCCCTCCCCTGGATACAAAGTAACAAAGCACAATTCCCTCCTCCAATAAACAGTCATAAATCACATTCCCCAATTAATTTGAAGTGCTGGCTTTCTCCCCAGCTCTCCAGCCTGCCAAAACTCTATCAACTCTGGGCCCAATGACCTTGGGTTCCCACGGCTGAGTTATTATTGTTATGACTAGCTGGACTCTCATCCACATTCCCCACCCCCTATCATCAACTAACTCTAAAAGCAATAGAGGAAAATGGCTCCATTTCCATCTGTTGTCAAAGCAAGAACATCTGATGTTAGCAGCATTGACACCTTTTCCTCTCTTTCTGTCAGCCTCTTTCTCTCACTCACTCACTCACTCACACATACATACATTTTCTATTTCTACCACAGGCAACTGGCCAAGTGAAGGAAGAGATAGCTCTTACTAAAACATCTGTGCCAAGAAGCTTACATTTAGCCAAGGGCAGTTCTTAGACTGAAATTGCCAATATCTGGCTTTATATAAAGTTGTTTTAAACAAAACCAGAAAGAGATTTAAAAATTTAATCAGAAAAAAAGGAAACTCAATATCAAATTGTTTAATCATTTAAATTAGGCTATGCCACCTAATAACTGAAATAAACAAGACAAGGATGAAGTACTCAAAGGTACATTTTTAGAAAACTTGATGTGTGAATTCTTTCTCTATAACCTGTCACTTCTTGAGTTCTTTGTAGCATATCATTGCTAACCATTAATCAAGGAGTGATGCGAAAATGTTTAGAATCAATGAAGTGTAGAGAATTTTAATATGCATAGTTGTACTGAAGTTGTCAAGTGCTATTTTAAAATTTGTCTCTGCCAAAATAATCTACAATAAGCACTGATTGTCTAGCTCCCTGGAATTAATTGACTACAATTTTTACTGGATATTATTCAGGTAAAGTTAGTTTCTTGACAAGAATGTCCATCCTTCTTAATGCACTGAAAAGTTTGTTTATTGAAATTTCTCTGTTGGATATAATTTCTGTATAAAATGTCAAGAGATATAGCAAGAAAAACATGGGACAGTTTTCTACATTGCTTCCTCAGCAATATGTTTATTGGTAAACAATTGTGCAAGCATGGAAGACTTTTAGATTGTTTGGTTCCTCTGCATATGTATATGCCTTTACCTCAGTTGTATAGATTATATATTTGTGTGTAATTATTTGGTTATAATCTTATTTAAAATCCAGTGGCAGATGCTAAAATGATCATTGTTAAGTGTCTTCAAAGATAACGGGGCATGCAAAATGTGCTACTGTATGCTGGTCTTTATTAGGTCTTTAATAAATAATGATGGGCAATATTTTGTGCTCACAGATAGTTTGATGTTTCCTCTTAATTCTGCCTACGTGCAAAGAAATTGTTCAGACATTTTTTTTCCTTAAGGGGCACTAATGAAGCATAATCTTTAAGTAAATCTTCAGTAATGAGGTCGCTTGAGTGTGTTTAGAAAATGCAAATGCCATAGCTAAGATGTGCTGCTTGACACAATCAAATGTTTATAGTTACATACATAACCTCAACAGAATTTATTTGATTTTATGGGTATTTAAATGAGTCTCCATATAATTAGACTTCTTTGGAAAATGGAGAATATATTTGAATGAGGAATGCATCCCCTTGAGTCTACTGTATATCCAAGTGG